ACGAAACAGTTTGTCACAGCCCCTCGTTTGTTGTCCTCTTCTCTCTCTCTGCCTACGGTTTACCGGGCAGTTCTATTTGTGACGATATATATATCGTCATAATGAGCAATGAGTTGAAAGTTTGAAACTGACATTCGTTTTTCCAATTTTTTTCCCTAACGAAATTGGGCTTCCAGAATAGTCCAATTTGTTCCTACCAAATTTGCGTCCCCACGACGTGGACGGCTGTCTCCCATCTCTTAATATTAGGACTCTTGTTACAGGTGTGACTCTTGCTCTATCCCAACTCTTGCAGGTGGGAATCCCCCTTCCCCCCCCTCAAAATCCTCTCTCTCTCTCTCTCTCTCTCTCTCTCTCTCTCTCTCTCTCTCTCTCTCTCTCTCTCTTTTTCTTTTCTTTTTCTTTTCTTTTTTTTTTTTTGCAAAGGGAACTCCACAGCGTCTGGTTGTTAAGTCAGACATCATCAGAGCCTGTTTTTTGTTTATTTATTTTAGAGACTGTTTTTTTTGCCGGAGGGTTATCATTTCCCTAGGGAAAAGGGGTGGAAAAGGGAAAAGAAAAACGGGGGGGGGGGGGGGGGGGGGGGGGGACGCGGAGGGCAGAGGAGTGGGGCAGAGGGCAGAGATTAACCTCTGGGTGCTGTTTTGTGCTCCAGAGGGATTAATTTTTTTTTCCTTTTCCAAACGTTTTTTTCAACTTTTTTGTATTTTTAATTCCAGGGGGTATTTTCCTTACCTGGCTAAGCCAGCATTTGTCTTATTTCGTGAGGACTTCCTGGCTTATTAGCCGCTTATATTATTATTTTGAAAGTGAGTTCCTGGTATTAAAAAAATAAAAATAAAAAGGAACTTAAGAAGCATTTGTCTTATTTTTAAGTTTATAAACTTCTTTATTTTATTTCATTTTTACCTGGCTTCCCTGCATTCTTCCACAGGACAAAAAGCTTGTTCGGTGCCTCCCTCACGAGCGTGAAGAGGATGATCGCTGCAATATCCGGCGTGCAAGGCAATGCCAAAAGACAGAAGGAAACAAATAGTAAATTAAATTTAATTAATAATCCAAAATTTTAAAATTTCCAAATTCAATTTAATCATTGTAAATTACCAACAAGTAAACTCGTTGACAAATGAAAATAAAACAGAGCAAACAGAAACTAACACTAAGTTAAATGGAAAGAAATGGAAATTTCTGGAGCAATTAGGAATTTTGAATTTCTGAATTTGACAGCAATAAGAAAAGGCGGGAGTGATGGGATAACTGGTAGAAAGCGCCCAGGCCAAAACCTTTTCGGTTTTGGGTGCCCGAAACTCGGTCGTTTGGTACTACAGGACCAATGTTTTCCATGTGGGGTACTACAGACCCAGACCTCGCTCCAAGAGCCCTACCGGATCATGAATCTGGCCCATACACAGCACCAGATTCATTTTTATGTCGAAGAGGCCGAGGGCCGTTCCCCTGAAGGATAGAATGAAGCCAATGTACCGTATTTTGAAAAAGAAGGGGCCTACCTGTTCATGAATCTGGCGCAAAAACAGCGCCAAATTCTTGAACCGGTAAAAACAGGCCCAGGGAGATGTGGCCACATGTTTTTTTGTGTGTCTGTTTTCTCCCCCCCTTTTTTTTCTAAGTACTTTTCTTTTTTTTTAATTTTTTTTTAAAGAGAAGATCAATCATTTATGAACATGCAAGCCGGGAAACAAGCCTGGCGTCCCTTACAAAAAGTCGCAGCAGCCCTGAGCTGAGCGAGGCAAAGCTCATGCCACGACTGTGTCAAGGGCAAAAATCCTTCTTCTTCTCTTGATCTCTTCTACCAGTTGTATGGATTATTCTTGTCCAAGTATTGAGGAATTAAGAACAGTTCTAGCCTGAACTATCCTTTTTTTCTTTTCTTTTTTTGAAAAAAATTCACTCGCCAGTGTTAGTGCTGCTGATAAGAGCAGACAAACAGAAGTCATGAACAGTCCTACAAATCTGCCAACCACTATGTTTCAATCACAAGAAAAATCCCGAAAAAAGCAGACAAGGCAGTCGCCCCCGGGGGCAATCCACTGTTACGAGTCCCGCAAAGGCACCCCAGAGCGTAGTAAAGAACTGCATTGCCTTCCTACTAAACCCCTTCCGCTGCACCCTGTACTTCCAGTCGGCTTGTATCGTTTGTTTTATGCCATATTTGACCTCTGCTCGGACCGTTGGCGGTGTCAGCTTGTCTCCTTTTTTTTTTTTTTTTTTTTTTTTTTTTTTTTTTACACAAAAGGCCCTTGCGCAAGACCTCTATCCTGGTGGTGGTAAGAGAACCACCTGGATTGGTGTCAGCCTGTCTCCACGTCTGGTCACTGAGTTCCTTAGTGTCCAAAGAGTCCGCAGTATTGCACCCCTGAGTGTCTCTTCCGCGTATGTGAAACATTGTAGGAAAGGTGATCGCGGCGCTGCAGTTCCCATTAACACGAACTGATCTGTCCATCTGGATGTGTTTCCGGGGAGAGGAATTTCCGAATGCCTCCACCAGTCCCAAAAGGGTCGAGCAATGTCACAATACAAGTTGAACACAAAATGTTGCAGGTCTTCCATCCGAGTCCCGGGACATACCTGGCATTCAGCCCGACGTGCCTTAGCAGTGCGTTTTGCGCACCAAACCGCCACTGGGAGTGCTTGGTGCATCATAAGCCATAGGAAACCAGCATGCTTGACAACAACCAAGTCCATCAGATTCACCCAAAATCTGGGTAATACTTCCAGCAATCTTGTCAGTGAGTCTTCGTGTGTGCTTGGGTGAGTAGTACTGAGTACCTTCAAGGAGTGCTAAACAATTGCTGTCGGGGTGTTTGCAGTGCCTCTAACACTGTCATGGGGGGCTGCTCTGATCGTGATGTCTGTGACACTGTGGTGTATATGGTCTATGGGTGATGACAGGTGTCCGTCGTAGTCACTCCCAGGCTCAGCAGATACCATTGTTGTTAAAAAAAAAAGAAAAAAAAAAAGACTCAGCAGATGGTGGAAAGCAAGAGTCTGCAGGCTTCACTCGTTAAAAAGATGTGCTGCCTTGATCCATGTTGGATGTGTAGACTACCTTTTTGTCTGCGCTCCACTGCTGCCTTGCTGCCTGTCCTGCTTGCTTTGCATGTCGTTCCTTGCAGCTGCTGGTGCTCTCTATGTGGTGTGGCTGCATTGTTTGGTGTTGCCTTTTGCTTCGCTGCGCTGCTGCCTTGCCGCCCATCTTCATCATGATGCCTTGCCTTCCGCGTTCTTTGCTTGTGCGCGCTGTGTACTTTGGCTGCTGCGTTGGTGTTGCCTTGTGCTTCGCTGCGCTGTTGGCATGCTGCTCATCCACTTGGCCTGTCCTTCATGCAGTACTTCGTTTTTTTTTTGGGTGCTGTGCAGTTGGTGCGTTGCCTCTGCAGCGTTGCCTGGTGGTGCTTCTGTCAGTTCTTGCTTGCAGGCTGCTGCTGTGCTCCGCTTGTGGACAGTCTGCTTCCATTTCTCGATTTATGTGTGTCATCCTTACTTCCACAGGGGCCATGCTAATCTTCTTCTTTCTCTGTATCGTTATAATTTTTATAATTTTATTTATCTATTTATTTCCATAACTGGGCCCAGTGCCCAAGGCTTTCATTCATGCTCAAATAAAATTTCTGGATCGTTCCAATTTTAACAGATGTCCCTCCTGAAGGGCGACAGTCTGCTTCGAACAAGGGTCAATTTGGTCAACGGGTTCATGACCCAGTTCCTCACCTCTCGATTTTTGGTAGAGTGTTGGTAATAAACAGTGCATTTTTCTCTCTGCTCTGATTCGTAGCTGTTGTTAGGCCCCTAGGTAGGCATCTGTGTACGCTGATTCGGTGCAGGGCTGCAAGGCCAAAGAATTGATGCTTTACAAATTGACCCTTGTTGGAAGCATCAATTCGTTGGCCCTTCGGGTCATGAAACCGTTGACCAAAACAGTCTAGGGTTGACTTATCAGGAGGCTGAACCCTTGACAATCTGAAGAAGACTGTTTCGGGGATTCTTCTTCAGATTGTCAAGGGTTCGGCCTCCTGATGAGTCAGTGAAACGACTCCACCGAAACAGTCTGTCATCATTTCTTGTCTTTCTTGGTCGTTGTCTTTTGTCGTACTCGTGATATTTTGTGTGTGTTTTCTTTTTGTCTTTAAACTCTTTTTTTGTTGTACTTGTGATTTTTTGTGTGTTTTTCTTTTTGTCTTGCTTCTTTGGCCTTGCTGTTGTGTTTGGCTCACTGCCTTTTCCCTCCCCGCCTTGGGCTGCTTCGCTTGTCTGCCCACCCAAGTCCCCCCTACCCTCCCTCCAGCCTGTGTGCCTTGCTGCCGCTGGTCTTCCCTTTTCTTTTTTTTTTCAATGTGGCCTTCCGCTTTCACTGCCGGATCGGGGCAGCGTCAAAATGCTCTTACTAAAAAAAAAAAAAAAAAAAAAAAAAAGCTATTACTGTGTAAACCCGAAAGAGCCGTACTCTGCTTTGGGTGACTGTTGCATACAGTCTAGTGAATACATTGACCAAGTATGGGCAGAACCAAAGATCAACCAATATAGGATGAACATATATGCAGCGGAAGTCTGAGGTATGGACGGACTCACATAGACTGAACCCACCTAGACATCACTCAACACACAAACAATCGTGAGATGGTGGGGTCTGAAGCCATACATAGACGATGCTTCAGCCCCGTACACCCATACATAGATGAATGGTGGGAGGAGAGACGATGGAGGTGGGAGATAGGGACAGCGCCAGATGTCACCGAAATAGAATCCCGAATGTCACCGATATAGTAGCCCAAAATGTCACCGAACAATTCAGAATGTCGTAGACATTAGTCACCAATGTCGGAGGTACCGAATCCTAATGTAACCGATGTCCGATCTGTGATGCCGCCAGGTATCAATCCCAAATATCTCCAATGTCTCAAATCCGGTAAGTATCACATCTTTCTACCAGCGAAGTCCAATCACTGATCTCTGTCCATCTCCTACCCAAAGTCTCTCATCTGAAGAAGAAGAAGAAGAAGAAGAAGATGAAGAAGAAGGAAGAAGTAGAAGAAGACCCGAGAGGGGCAGAGCATTGGTAGAGATGGCGAGTAGCCCTAGGCCCTACCTGATGACTAAAGGTGGTGCCTTGGCTGCTGTTGGAGACGGATGTGCCGCTGGGAGCTATGGCGCTCGCGGTTGGTATCAGGTAAGTCTCCCTCCTCACTCTCTCTCTCTCCACAGCCAGCGCTACACCTAGCGTTGCTGTCTAGCGCTGCGCTGGAACAGAAATAGCGCAGCGTTTAGCTCCTCAGTGCTGCCGCCCTCCGATCCTGGAAATGGCTGCTGGCTGGGCCTAAATACCGGCCGGCGGCCAGTTCGGCCTCTGCCTCCGAAGGTGGCCTCCGATCTGAACCGTTGGATCTATTGTCCGATCCGTGGTTCAGGTCGGACCGGTTTTCGGGAAAACAGGCTGCCTAAACGGCGGCCTGGTCCAAACGAAAAACATTTGGCCATTTCGCACCCAGGGCCTAAGGCTGCAGGGCCTGGTCTGGAACCGGTTGCGCAAGGCCAAAGGGGCGGCCTAAAAAGGTCCGGCCTTTGGGCCGACCTGGCCTGGACTATCGTGTCCAGGCCCTCAGAACCCCTCAGCCTAGTCGTCAGGCCTGAAAGGGCGTGTGGAATGCCGTTTGTAACAGTGAGTCTGCGTGTTTTTTTTTTCATTAAAAAAAAAGAAAAACAACAACAACAACAACAACAACAAGAACGCCCAGGTTGTTGTAAAGGCACGTGTTTTCACTTATATATTACTTTGAGGGTTATCGAATGACTCAACTCATGTGGATGTGTGTCGTTGTATAAGGTGTTGCGATGGTATGGTGCAGGGTCTTTTACCATGCTGAAGATAACCTTGAGGCTCTTGAGGGCAAGGTTGCCGGTTCAAATCCGCACTTGCATGGAGGAGGTCTTAGGCCCAGATGTACAGATCCATAACTACTTTTTTTACCATGCTGAGGATGACCTGTGTGTTTACAACTTTACACACACATCTCCATGACTCGGTGAAATTCCGACCAAACAGTTCGGCACAGCCATGGTTTTCTTTGTGGAGTTGTGTATAGCGAACATGGCAACACACACACACACACACACACACACACACAATCAGTTTTATGTCTGTCTGTTTCCCTCTTGTTGTCTGTCCTCCCTCTCATTTTTTCTGTCTTTTTGCTTACCCAACTGAGCACCCTTAAGTAGTGCCAAACAGTCAGTGGTTCCTCGTTTGGAGCGCGTACTGCACTCTTATGGAGGCCGCTCAGTTCGGGATGCATGTGTTGCCTGTGGGTGATGATGGATGCTCGTCGGAGTGACTCCCTGGCTCAGTGGGTGGTGGGAACCAACAGTCTGCGGGGTTCAATCGTGATGTGAGTAGGTCATGCGCTGCTTTGCTCCGTGTTGGATGTGTGGACTGCCTTGTCTGCGCTCCACCGCCGCCTTGCTGCCTGTCCCGCTTGCTTTGCATGTGATTCTCTGAAAGTTGTTGTGTTCACTGTGTGGTGTGGCCGTGTTGTCGGTGTTGCCTTGCGCTTCGCTGCTTCGCTGCCGTGCTGCTCATCCGCTGGTTGTGCCTTCCGGGTTTGCCGCTTGTGTGCCCTGTAGGTTGGTTTCCTTGTTGCTGGTGCCTTGTGCTCCGCTCCACGGTTGCCGAGCTGCTGGTCCGCTCGCCCTGTCGTTCCCTGCAGTGTTGTTGCCTTGCTTGTGTCGTCTTGTGCTTCACGACATGGCTGCATGCCCTGCGTGCCATGGCGTTCCTTGCAGTCATTTTTGGCGTTGTGCAGCAGTGTTGCCTCTACTGTGTTGCCTGGTGCTCCACAAGGTTGCTGCCCGCTGCTATGTCCCGCTTGGGGACAGTCTGCCTTCAACATGGGTCAAAGGGTAATATGACCCAAACCATCAAATACGGGGATTCCGCAGATTGTCGAGGGTTCAGCATCCTGATGAGTCTGTGCAACTCTGACGAAACAATCTTGTTATCATCAGTTTTTATTTTTTTCGGTCTTCTGAATTTTTTGGGACTTGTATTTTTTCCTGTTTCCCTGTTTCGTGTGCTTGCCTGTTGTCTGCCCTCCCGCCTGCTTGGTGTGCTTGTGTGTCGTCTGCCCTTCCACCTCCCCTGTGCCCTTCAGCCTTTGTCCTTTGCTGTTGCTTGTCATCCCATGCCTTATCGCGTCATGCCTTTTCATTGTCTGCTTGGTGTCGTTGTGTGTCATCTACCCTCCCGCCTCTCATCCTATGTGGGACTTAGAAAACTGGTTGTGGTTAGCCACGGATGTATGAGGTAGCTTCAGAGAAGTAAAGCGGCAGCAGTGGTTTGCCTGTTTGGTTTGTTTGTGTGTGGCCTGTCATTCTAAGCTGGCAAGGTAGCATGGATGGGCGGCAGTTAAAACGGCATGTGATGGGCTATGGGTGGACCTGGTGTACCACTGAAAGAGTGGAGTAGCATGGCAGATGCGCCGTGAGATCATTTCCGAACACACACACACACAC